ATTGTAATGCGGTTAGAATGGTGTCTAGCTTATGCTCAGTCCTCCGTTTGTAGCTATCAGTGTTACCCTCTCAGTCAGGGGCTTTGCTATAGACCAAGAGCTAACAATCTATCAGAAAGCCTTAAATTTTTTTTTATGTTTGCTTGCTTTTGTTTTCAACCTAGAGATCTCCCCTACTCCTCCCACCTCATCTCAATACCCAGACTTGAGGGCTTACTCTATGCCAGAAACTGTGCTTGATGCTGTGATGATGCAAATATTAACCATAGATTTAGCCTTCAAGACCAATTAAATACAGAAGAATTTTATAATAATTATATAGCTAGGAAGAAAGATAATGCCAGGTACAGACAGCAATGAAGAGAAGAAAAATATGTTAAGTTCCACTATTTATCATTTAACAGTTTGACCTAAGAATACACTTTAACCTCTACGTGCCTTGGTTTTCTCATCTGTAAAATGATTTACAGTCACCATCATCAATAATGCTGCCCAAAATAACATGAATCAGTTTCATCCTTCACCTGGCCCCTGTTCACAAATGCATGTGGGCTCAAAATTCTTAACTCTTGGTGAGGGTGAGGAGTATGAAAGCAAAGGGGAAGCCAGGTGAAGAAACGGCAGGCTGCCTCAGGCAGTGGCGAGGCACAGGGTGGGTTTACGTGGGATCAAACTGATGAAATGGGCATCAGCAACCTGAGACATTCCTGCAATTCTGTTATCCTAGAAATACAAGTCAGACACAGGATTAATTCAGAACTGCCCCCGCTGATATTTTAACCAGAATGGACATCTGCTACTGTGTGCTGCCGCACTACAGAATGGATTTGGGACCTACCGTTAGGTGCTAGGAATTCTGGGGTAGCTAGTTGTGCAGGCTCATCCTGGACCCATTTCATGTTACTGAGTTTTTTTATACTTACTGCAGGACTATACTGTTGCATCTATTTCACAAGATTGCTGTGAAAATCTTAAATGAGTTGATGTATTTAAAGTGCTTCGAATAGTACTTGATATTTAGTAAACTATTAATACATATTACTTACTACTCTTATTATCCATGTTTAATTAAAAACATTCAACAACCACAATGGCATTTGCATCAGCCAATCAGGACACATACAGCATGGACAAACTATGACTTCTCCAGTTGCTGCTCAAGCTGCCTCTGAAAGGACAGGTAGGAAATGCACATGTGGAGATAATGAAGGAGAAGAAAGGCACTTCAGGGGGAAAAGCCTGATACATATATGGTAACCTTCATGTTGTTTTATGACTGAAGCAACGGGTGAAAATAAAAGGATGCTGTCAAATTAGATTAGGGCCAAGTCATGGAGGAAAAGGGTTTTAATAACTTTAATAAAATGTAATAGTTGAGTCGTGTAGTAGCCCATCAAAGGCTAAAGGCTGCATTTGGTCACAAAGTTCATAATGAATACAGTCCACCACACCTGAATATGGAAAATGTTTACATTATAGTTCATTTTAAAGAACACAGGCACACATACTTTAGATAGCTTCCACTGACCAAAGTTAAAAGAAAATAACTTGTAATGATGTACAGATTCACAAAGGTTTATTAATGGGCCTATTTTCACTTTAGTTGTCTTTATTTTTTGAAGCATTTTCCCCTAGTATGATCCTAATTTCAAAATCAGTATTTCTCCAATGTTGATGAAACTGGAAGTTTCCAAATATGTGATGGAAATGGGACCGGCGCTATGTGCATCCGATCAAACCAGTAGCAACATAATATCAGACACAAATGGAAAGCATTTTTTAAAAGCCCACAATGGCAACTCAGGGCAGTAATGGCATCACATGGGAAATAAGATCTCTAGTTAAAGCCAACGAGGGTTTGCAGGCTAATTTTGAGTTTTACTCTACATTACTTCAAATCAGAAATTTCTTGTTACTCAAATTCAAATAGCATGCACTGGACATCTGTTACTTTGTGTTCTCCGTAACCACCTTTGCTCGCTTGCTCCCTACATGATTCCTTTTCCTGATAATTTCCTTTTCTCTGGGGAAACTCCTCTCCTGGTTGGCTCAGGGATGAAATGTGATCCTATCTGGGCAAAATCAAAGCTCTTTCCCCAAATTTTATATAGCTGTCATCACGCTTTGGTTATGGTGACATCATCTACCATCTTCACCTCATTGTCTCCCATCGCAAAAAGAGCATGCCCAGAGAGTGTGCTTAGGTAAGAAAACCAATCCAGGAAATAAAAGTCTGAGGCAAGTATAAGAGATGGAAGGATTTGGCTGTTTGGGTGTTCGGACCCAGTCACACATGGACATCCCTATATATGAAACCCTCAGGGTTAATATATACATATTAATTTATATATAAATTGCCCTCAGGTTGACACTAGTTTGAATTGAGTTTCTATTACTTGCAAATGAGAGACAACTGGTTAATAATCAAAAGTGTACAATAGCTACCTGAAAATAAGCACATTTAATGCAGTAGCATATAATTAAATAAAACTAAACTAGGTATCTTTGCTTAAGCAGCCTCAATGTCCATCAGTAGACGAGTGGATAAAACAACTATGGGACATTTATTTATACAATGGAATACTGTTTGGCCATAATGAAGAAGAAAATTTTACCCTTTGTGACAACATGGATGGACCTGGAAAACATTATGCTAAGTGAAATGAGCCAGTCAGAGAAAGATAAATACCATATGATTTCACTCGTATGTGGAATCTAATGAACAAATTGAACTAACAAGCAAAACAGAGACAGACTCACAGATAGAGAGCAGGCTGACAGCTAAGGTGGAGGGGAGGAGGTCAGAGGGTGGAGGGACTGAGCAAAAAGGGAAAACGACTCATCTACATGGACAACAGTGCGGAGATTGCAGGGGAGAGAGGGGTATAAGGGGACTAAATGGCGACGGAAAAAAATGCAATAAAGATTATTTAAAAATTTAATGACTAACATGAAATCAGGTACAAAACACTTGTATATGTCAACCAAATTAAACAAAATGTATAAAGGAAATTGCTGGCATTATAGTTATATGTTTAATGTTTTACTCTACATTGTGAAACCTGAATCCTACTACTTGCTACAGGGAAACAAATTGGTGCAACTTCACTTTGGATTCTTAAGTATCTTTATATTTAAATTATATAGTTAAATTTAAATTATATTTGTTATATTTAAATTATAGAGTTAAACGATAGTAATTCTCTTTAATTTATATTTATAATATGAACAGGTGCAAGCTTTGTTTACTGTAATTTATGGCTATTAATCCCATATGTAATAATTAGCAATTATAAAAGGCCTACCTTCTCTTTGAAATCACTGTTTAAAAAATAAAGGAGGCCAGGTGGAGCTTTTCTCCTTTTAAAATGTGAGTCATGAACAAAATGCAGATGTTGCACTTTAGATTGGTCAGGGAATTTGTTTACGCATCAGAATTTGTCAAGAATCCAAAATGGAGAGGGTCTCTAAAAAAGAGAAATTGGGTCTTAATACTACAAACTTCTAGGGCTCTCAATAAATTATTCCAATTTCTCCCCTTCCAAGCAGTTGACATGGTTATTCACTAAAACACATGTTTATTGTAAATCCTGAGGGAATAAACATGCATATTACTCAAATGAGCTGATAGTTACATTTAATGGGACTGTGCTAGTTAAATTCTTTCCTAAGGAATAGTCTCTAATTGAAAAGTCTAATAGAATTCCAGACAATAGAGATGGCAAAGATACATTATTAGATCATTTAGATATTTTTTTTTCCCCTTTGTTTTTCCTTCTTGGCAGGGGAAAAACACAGGATAAGTTCTTTGGTTTTTGTCCAGTTTTCAATTTAAATTCTAGAAGGGATGGAACTCAACACTTTTCTTGGAAATGAGACTACATCATAACAGATTTCATTGTCAGGAAATTCCTCTCCACTCTGATATTCAGATCACATGTTCACTTGTGCACTTTATCCCACTTTTCCCAATAACAATTCTATTTATCTATTGATACTTTTGATTCAGTTCACCCTATTTCTTGTCTGTTTCAAAAAGGCAAATTTCCCTTTTAAATATGAATTCCTTGAAATACCATTTAGTTGTCTCCCCAGTAATATTGTGAAATGACATAATTCTACACAAATTTTTTTACTGTATGAGGGAGAAGATTCCTGAGGTTGCTTTAGAAAATATATGTATTTCAAGTTGTAAGGCCTTATTTCCTTGAAACCCATTTCCACTACTACTTTTATACCAAGGGTCTTTGTGGCATACTGTCTTTAGATTCTCTTCTCCAATTTCTACCTCAAGTTATATGTTTTTGTGTTCTACAAGTTTATCCTAGACTCATCTTTTAATTATATTTTCATATTTTTAATCTTTCTAAGTCTCTTTAATTAATGACTTTGGTTTCCTTTTGGTCTAAACCTATTCCAATTATACACTAAAAATGAATTTCACTAATGTCCAATTTGATCTTTGTTTTCTTAACCATTAAGTACACAGATGCAACACAGATGTAGTGATCTTTTTTTATAGTCATGTTGCAATTTCATAACTGTATAAATTCCAATAAAACCAGGAAAACTTAATTTTAATATGTGAGATCATAACATATACAGAGCTGCCATAAGGTATAAATTAAGCCAGGTATATTGTAAATACACATATACATTCCAACAACACTAAGGAGTCCAAGTGTTTCTTTTAGTTATTCCTAGATGTTTCAAAACTGCACAAAACTAGTTATCACAACACCCCGGTGTGGCAATGACGAGAGTGGAGTGGAAATGGATGAAAGGTATAGAATTCATAAGACGACACAGCTCTTTGTGTGAACAAATGCAGCCAAATCTGTGAGCACTGACAGTTCAAACAACAATTTGGAGCTGCTGACTTTCTGAGCTGAATGTAAGAAATAGTAGCTAATTGTACTTATTTAGCTTTTACATAGGACATTATACCCTGGTATACCTGGTATACCCTGGTGCTACCCTGGTATGAAAGACCTGTTCAGTCATTTCAAGAAGGTAAGTTACACATAAATCACCAAGGCAAGAATGGGGAACTGAGGGCTAGGTGGTGTGTCACAGGGCCTTTTGACATCTTTGTGACCTTGGGTTTGGTTTTACATCAAAAGAGAAAAGTTTTCATCTCATACAATTCAGTACACTAAAAGGCAGGGATTAATTAAGCACTATGCCAATCAGGTGCAAAAGAGGGGTTGCTAATAGGAATAAGGACCTTGTAAGTCAATTCAAGAGGTTAGAAAATACATCTTAAAAATTTTTTTTAGACTGTTTAATTACTTTTCAGAAAAACAAAAAATTGCACCCACCCATAAACAATACCCCAATCACCCAACAGCTACTCAATGCATAGTCCTCTGCAATCTGGGCATTTCCTTCCTCCAGAAGGGCTCAATTTTCATTGCCAATGTTCTTGGTAGATTCATTTTTCACTGAAAAAAATAAACATACAGTCAAGTGTTTATACTGTTTTTGTTTAGCCTGTTGTTTTTTCCTCTTCTCCCCTCCCTTCTGAAGCATCCCAACAGCACTGCTCACAGGCATAGACAAACCATGTCATGTCCCAGGCAGCCAGGATATACAGTTCTGGCCACAATGAATAGAGAAATGATGTCTGAAAGTGGCAATTATATTTTGTGAGGTAACATCCTTCCTGACTCTGTGGAAGATTTGGGAATGGTCACTTCAGTGTGGTTATGATCCCACACTTGCACCACTGAATAGATCACTATTATCACATAGACTAGCCAAGTGTGGTTGGAATAAATTTTTCCATGATTTTTTTTAAACTTAAAATTGAGAGGGAGTATACATTGAGTAAATATGGGCTAACAGAAGACAAGCTAATTACCCTCTCTGACTTTCACAGAAAAGAAGACTTAGAACAGAAATGCAGTTCCTTTAACAGGGCTGCCTTGACTAGAGCAAGCAAGTCTATGAGTACTCACTAAACTGAGAGTTCCTTGAGAACAGACATTGGACCTTTCCTCCCTGTAACATCCCGCTACTGCAGCACATTTGCTGAATCAATATAAATGCAAGTCACTCTATCTTTTAGTTGTTGTTTTTTTTAATCTGCAGAAAGGGAACCAGAGTGAGTGCTCTATTTCATTGTATGGTGAAGCTAAAAGGAAGTAGTGTGTAAAAACACTATGAAAATTAAGGTTAAAATACAGATTATTTTGCTTGAGGCTTATAGCCATTCATCTCCACTATGTAGGTAAGAAAAATAAAGCTCAGAGGCAGAGTGAATGCTCAAGGGCCCAGAGTGAAAGCTAATAAGAGTTGGTGCTAGAATCATAAACCTGGATCTTGTGTCATACGCCAATTGCCAAGGTCTTTGGGGTTTGCTGATAGTACCTGCATTTAAGATTGAATCAGCAACTAAACTCATGTTTATTGGGTTCTTTCTATGAGTAAGGCCTTGAAATAGCTTCCATCCAAGAAATGTCCCAATCCTTGTAGAATTTCAAAACTCTCAGAGTCCTTCCAATGTCTCCATGTTATTACAAGTTAGTCGTTTTTTCTTCTGGCTTTCTCAGCACTTGCTGCAAACTCTACTATAGCACCTACTGCACTGTAAATCTTACATTTGTGCTTCTGTGCTTGAAATCCATCTCCATATCCCCACCCCGTTACCTCACACCAACACTGAAAGAGAAAGGAAGAAAAAGAGGGGTAAGGAGAGAGAAGGGAGGAGAGAGGGAGGCAGAATAGATGAAAGCATCCATTTGTCCAACAAGAGACTGACATGTGAGTGGTTGTTATGCCATGGTATCTTTTACTAATTCAAATGATCAATTTTGGGTTGGATTCCTTCTCAAAGGCAGAGGCATTTTCTAATTTTGAGTTATCTTAGAACAACAGAGAAATATTATTCTGCTGTTATTTTTAAATTAATGGGGCTTTGTACTATTTGGCATTGCAGTTTGCAGAAGACTTTTCCCTTTCTTTGCTTACTGAAGTTGCCCAGTTTTCTTCTTTTCATAGAGCTCCATTCTTTTCCCTTAGACTGAAATGCAGCATGCTTTGGAGTCATTTGATCTACTGATTAATTTTGGCAAACAAGAACCTGTGAAGCAAGTAATACTACTCTGATCACTTTGCACTGGACTGATACAAGATGGGTGGTTAGCACTGTACATCTCCAATCTAGTGGGCTACCTTAACTGCTTAACCGTTTACAGTCAACTTTTTTCATTCCTTAAAAAGAAAAAAGCAAACAAACAAACAAAACTTGTCTATTGCCCATCAATATAGGCAGGCTTTGGAAAAAGTACATTACGGCAATCTATAATCATAACAAACATTTTAACAACCATCAACTGTGAAAACTACTGAATCCCAGCCCAGAAACACATTTTTCTAAAACTAGAAGAGAGACACCTTGTGCTATGAACTCAAGATTAAAACCCAACATTTTGGCTCTGGAGAGAGAAAGAATTTCAAGGCTTTCCAAAGAAAATGTCCTGTTCTTATATAACCTCCTTCTGCATTAAGGGACCACCCTGCAGAATATCCAATGGTTGTGAGAAGGTACAAAAAAAAAAAAAAAAGAAGAAGACACCCTGAAGTGCTTACACAAAGAAATGCATGTACAGGAAAACCTGGCATTATTCTTTAAAGTATGTATTTATGATGTGACAACACTGGTATGGTCCTTCAAATCCTGTCAGATCCTCTTTAGTTCTTTGCTACAGCAGCTCTAAACAGTTCTCTATACTGAAAGCGTGAGTCACCTGTGCTTCCTGTACATAAGTCAAACATCATATACCTACCAAAACATAGCAAATTTTACTTAAGAAGGTTCCAAGCTGCATTACAAAAGTAGCCTTTTCTTTTTGCTTCATTACAGGAAGCCTTAATTCAATGTGCGTTCCTAAACAAGGTGAAAGAGGAGCTGTGTGTGCTATGTTTATTTACACAGACAGTGTTTGCCCTGGCTTGTAATCCACATTACTAAACAACTTTCCCTGAAACCAACATTTAGGGCGAGAGCTATGTGAATTATATTAAGGAAAAAGTAAGGTTTTTATACAGCTTTAAAAAAAAAAATGAAACTGGTCATTTAAAACTAAAATTTTTAATTTGAAAAAATAGAATATTCTTGATCAAACTGTGAAAAATATAAAGACAAGAATTAACTTCAAGATTTAGAAATTCATAATTGTTTATTAGATACTTCACATTTGCTAATTAAAAATCTATTTTCCAATTGTAGCACTGACAGAAACTTTGGCCACTTGGGAAAAAAGTTTTTTCCTATTAACTTTTGTGAAGAAAAAATGCTATTCTATACATATAGAGAGAACATCTTACAAGAAAGGTTACTGCCTGTTACAGTCTCTAATGCTGTATAACAATAAAACCCAAACCACATATTTCAAGTAACATTACCTTAAAAAACAGAGTTGACTCCGATGCAAGGATTTTATGGTACTCTGGAGTTTGCTACCATGAAACTTGCCTGTTCCTAATAACTCTTAGCTGAAAGTAGTATCTAATAGTTTTGAGTTAGGGTAAGCAACATTTCTCCCTTTTTAAAAGTAATTTCTAGATTTTATTCACCCTCTAGAATCTGCATTCAGAAACACAATTAGCTTACTTTAATCAGATTTGCAAATAAGGGTAAGTCATTTTATACACTGAACTTTTACATATACCACTTCTAGTTCTAATACTGCCTCCCAACTCTTCTACTCACTAAAGAGAAAAAAGTTATCTACTTTTAAAGATTCACAAAAATGCCAAGGAATATACCCAAGGAAACAAAAATCAAAGGAAATAAAAACAATGGGTTTAAAAATAAAAGGAGATAAAGGGTCAAGGGAATGGCGCTTGACCCTATGGCACATCACTCTAAATGGAAGCTCAAATTTAAAATGTTCTGTTCCTTGTAACACTTCTTTCCATATCGTAGGATACTAAAAATATTTTTGCAATCCCTCATTTTAAGAATCTCTTAAAAAAATGGTTTTAACTCACGACTAAATTTATCTGATCATGACAGACTGATACTTAAAGACCATTAGCTTGAAAAAAGACAAAAACACATACAACTCCAATAAGGCAGAAAGTATCCTTTTACAGCCAGACATTTATTGAAACTGACTTAGTCATTTCCAATTGACAGTGTAAGCTCATATGCTCTCAAACCAGACAGAAGCAACAACTCAATCATTTCGTTGTTTATGGTATTAAGGCTATACAGTAAATTCAGTTAAGTGTGTAAATCAAGTGAGAAAACACATATATAAAGAAAAAAAGACAGCCCTAACTGCTTCAGTTTCATTAGAGCTATTCTGAGCTTTACAGGAATAAATTTATACTTACCTTGGTAAAGAACTTGCATGTCACTACTGGATTCTTTTAATACCACATGTAGTGTTGGGTACTCAATGATCACTTTGTTCCTCAAATTGTCAAGGAGGCTTTTGTGAGGATCCAGCTCATAATACCTTACAATATAAAAGCAAAACAAGAAAATGCTTCTAATGTTAAAAATTACTCATAAATAAAATGTATCAGTCTCTTACACAAAAATTTTTTTAAATGGTGATAACACTATTTCAGTAGTTATTTTCTTATAAGATAATAAGTATAATACTTCTAAAAAAACAGGTAAAAGAGCTATTTTTATGGAGGTTCTAAAGCTATATCAAAAGCATATCAAGAAACTTGTAGCTTTCAACTTCTGTTCAAGATGGTGATGTAGGAAAATACACCTCATCTCCTCACATAGCCACATCAAAGTTACAACTACAGAACCCCCATTATTCAGACCTGCCAGAAATCGAGCTAAATGTAAGTCCTATAACTATGGAATTAAAGAAGAAACCACATCGAGACTGGTAGGAGGGACAGGCACATGGATTGGGCTGGTCCCATACCACATGTGGCAGATATAAATCAGAAGGGATATCTCTGGGAGTGAGGGATCCTGGCCCCACACCAGGACCTCCCAGCCCAGGGTTCCAGTGCCAGGAAGAGAAGTTGTCATAACTTCCGGCTGTAAAAACCAGTGGGGGATTGAGGCTGTGGAAGGCAGAAACTTCAAGGGTCCCAGACAGTTTCTGTTATAGGGCCTGTGCATGGCCTTAACTCGGATTTACTCTCTCCAAACTCCAGTGCTGGGGAGAAATGAAGTGTTTGGCATCAGGACGAGAGCGAGGGGGCAGCATTCCCTCACAGAGAAGTGCTGGCAGAGGTCGCTGTTACTTTTCTGAGCTCTCCCCCACACAGGGTGGGCAGACGGTCATCATATCTGAGACTCCATCAATCTGGCTCACTTCCTATGCGCCACCGTTGGGGATTCCCTGATGCTTTGCCCCATCCAAATTTTGGGCCCACCCAAGCTGTTTCCAGTGGCTTTCCCATACGAATAGTTCGTCTTGGTTCCAGCTTCAGATTTTCCTAAATTCTCTTAAACAAGCAGCGTCTGGCCTTAGCCCTGTACCACTTGTTAAGAGGCCCCAGGCCCGGCATAAGCAGCAGCTGGCTGTGGTTCACAGCTCGGCCTGTCCTGGGTACCTCTAAGCCCAGCACAAGGAGTAGCCACCTGCAGATCACTTTGTAGCTTATGCTGAGAAGCCCTAGACAGGACACATGTGGTGGCTGACCTTGGCCTGCACCTCCCGGGAGGCCCCAGAACCTATGCACTCAGTGGACAGCTTACAGACCATGTCGGAGCACTACCACCCAACTACCTCCACAAGTGACAAACTCAGGGGTGGGGACACGGTGGGTACCAGAGCTCTGCTGAAGTTAAGTCCTGTTCTGTGGAGTGGGCTCCTGCATAGCTGATCATCCACGATGGTCAAAGTTGGTGGTCACAAACAGTCCTTGCAGCTGATCAGCCTGGGTAAAACCCTCAAACTGACCTGCCAACAGCAATCAAGGCTCAACTACAACAGGAGGTTATACACAGCCCACATGGTAGGTGAACCTTGAATACCCAGGTTGCGTGGTAGGGGAGGCTGTGCCCCGGGACCCTACAGGACACTTTCGACATTAGGTCACTCTTCCAAGCTGGGGAGTTGTAGCAGCTCAACCTAATACATAGAAACAAACACAGGGAGGCTGCCAAAACAAGGCAACAAAGAAAGCTGGCCAAATGAAAGAGCAAAACAGAACTTCAGACAAAGATCTAAACAAAATGGATACAAAAAATCTACCAGATGTAGAGTTCAAAACACTAGTTACAAGGATGCCTCAATTAACTTAGGGGAAGAGTAGATGAACTCAAAGGCAACTTCAACAGCACAAAAAAGGACATGGAAACCATAAAAAAGAATCAGTAAGAAATGAAGGATAGACTAACTGAAATGAAGAACAATTTACAGGGAATAAACAGTAGAGTGGATGAAGCCAAGAATCAAATCAGCTATTTGAGACCCAAGTAAGCAAAAAACACCCAATCAGAACAGGAAAAAGAAAAAAAAAGAATCCAAAAAGAAATGAGGATAGTGAAAGAAGCTTCTGGGGCAACTTCAAGTAAACCTACATTCACATCACAGGGGTGCCGGAAGGAGAAGAGACAGAGCAAGAAATTGAAAACTTACATGAAGAAATAATGACAGAAAACTTCCCTAACTTGATGAAGGAAATAGACATACAAGTCCAGGATGTGGAGAGAGTCCCAAACAAAATGAACCCAAAGAGGCCCCACCAAGACACATCATAATTAAAATGCCAAAGGCTAAAGACAAAGAACGTTAAAAGCAGCAAGAGAATAAGTAGTTAGTTACCCACAAAGGAGATCCTATAAGAATGTCAGCTGATTTCTCAAAAGAAACTTTGCAGGCTAGAAGGGAATGGCAAGAAATATTCAAAGTGATGAAAAGTAAGGACCTATAACCAAGATTATTCTACCCAGCAAAGCTATTATTTAGAATCGAAGGACAGATAAAGAGCTTCCCAGACAAGAACACGCTAACGGAGTTATCACCACTAAATCAGCATTTTATGAAATGTTAAAGGGTCTTCTTTAACAAGGTAAAAAATATGAACAATAAAATGGTGATAAATGCATACATATCAATAATTCAATCTAAAAAACAAGCAGAACAGAAATAGACCCTAGATACCGGGAACGTTTTGATGGTTGCCAATGGGAATGGGTTCAGGAGGATGAGTGGAAAACATGAAGGGATTAAGAAGTACAAATTGGCTGTTACAGAATAGTCATGGGGATGTAAAATACAGTGTAGGGAATACAGTGGAATACAGGAGCCAAAGAATAAATAGGCATGACCCATGGACATGAAAAATGGTGTGGGGACCGCATGAGGTAGTGGGAGAAGGGGCTGGGTGAAGGGGGACCAAAGGGGGACAACTGGGACAACTGCAAGAGCATAAATAATAAAATATTAATTTAAACTAAAAAAAGAAGCAACCTAAGTGTCCATCAGTAGATGAACAAATAAATAAATATGATACAAATATACAATGGAATACTAGCCATAAAAATGAATGAAATAGTCATCTGAGACAACATGGATAAATCTAGAGGGCATTATGCTAATTGAAGTAAGTAAGACAGAGAAAGATACCATATGATCTCATTTATATGTGGAATCTACAAAACGAAAAATAAGCAAACAAAACAGTAACAAAAAAAGCATATCAAATAAACTGACATTAGAAAAGCTCTAAAAGAAGTCATTCATTTTCATACCAAGGAAGGAATAAAGACTTTTATGTATCTATCTTTAATGTAGCATAAAATTCTCTTGGATAAAACAATCATTACCTAAAAATTTAGAAAAACACTATCCCATGATAAATAATTTTTAGTAATGTCAGTAAAATAACTGGCTACAAAATACTTTGTAAAAAGTTCATTCTAATTATAGTTTCCAGAAATTTCTATTGTCATAAAATTAAATATGGCCTTCATTTAAAATTAAAAAAAAAAAAAAAAAAGACAAAAAAACCCCAACCAGATCTGGGTTCCTAAATGAGACAAAAGCACAAAATTTAAGAGATACGGAGTTTATTAGTCATGGTATCATGACATAACTGTCAAATGTGTCACAGGTAATTAGATACTTATATCCCTTATGATATGAAATTTCATGTCATTACTTTAAAAAAGTTGGGTTGGTTAGAGACTCAGTCCCCTCACATTCTCCCTTGCCTGCTTCTGAACCGGGAGAACAAGAGGTGGAATTTCAGCTAGCTTACTGGGAGTTGCATATGAGAATGTGTTGGCATGTTAATATCATGTCACGTCAAAGAGGAAAAAATAGAGAACATGTCCACCAATGTACTGCAGAAGTTCTCTAACTTTTCTTCACTACCTCCACCAATGATAGATGATATTCACATGCACAGCCCAAATCCCAAGGGATATCCAACCTGCGAGCGTAACTCTATACTTTTCCCTCCTGCTCAAAAAAGCACAGTGGAATACAAGTGATCAAGAATGAGGTTATCATTGGGATGCACCTGACTCTGCTGTAATTTTGTTTTAAGAGTAAATCCTTCACAAACTTAGTTATTTCTTAATTAGCAACAAATTATTTACTCCATAACTTGCAGCTGACTGAGACATCATATCACACTAGGAACGCCTGGTGTAGTGATCCCTCCCACCCTCCCTCTTTCCTTTCCCCTTCCTTCCTTCCTTTCTTTTTTTCTTTCTTTCTTTCATTTAGACAAATACCTTTATTTGGTTTTAAACACATAAAAGCAGTACACATGTGAGTGAGGAGGCTGATCAAGTCCTGCAGGAAAAGGTTAGTAGAGTAGTGATTTCTTTGTGTTCTAAGTTTGTCCTATTTAAGGGAAACCAGACGTACTTAAAAATGCAAAGTCAAGCCACTGCAAAGAACTAATTTCTTTCTAAGAAGTAGGTGACAAGTGAGAGAGCAAATGTAAAAGCCAAGACTTTACTTACTTTTGCCCAACTGCATACCCCACCCCTGGAATTAAATTCTTCATTTTAGAATCACAGAGTATTTTTTATGTTGAAAAAAACTTGAAATGCAAAATACTCAGTTTTCCTAAAGCAGCCACCCTTGTGCCCATAGGCCACAGAATGCATACATTCTTTTCCCTGTGTAATGTAATACAGATGTGCTTACAATACTTTAAAAGTGGTTCCAGCATTCAAGGATTAAGAGTTTTACATCTTTTAAACATTATTTCCCTTTGAAATAAGCATCATAAAAAAAAAAGTTAACAGTAAATATACAAAAGAAAAATTCAGATTGGATTAGAATGAAAGTATAACATGAACTTATAAAATAAGATATAAAATGGATATAACCAAATTTTTCTTAGGAGAAAACAAGACTTGAATTCTCAAATAGAAACTTTTCCAGTGGTATCCTATAAACACTTGCAGTAATTTATCTCCTCTGCATTTTAACTGAATCATCAAAGCTTCTATTAAGAGAAATTTCCCAAGTTTCCCTTATTTCAGTTTTTGGTAAATTTCAGTGTTTACTTAATG